TAAGAATACCTACACTGTGAATAAAATAATAAAAGTTTAATCCACAGGAGAGGCTATAATAAAAAAAACAAAAAACAAAGACCAAGGCCGGTTATAATATATTAGATATGCAGATATTAACTATATATTTGCAATATGCTCGGAGCAAATACACAATTAAATTACACACATATATATATATAATATATATAATAACTATATATATATTGTATATATATATATATATATATATATATATATTATAAAATACAAATAAGTAATTTAAATTAAATTAAAAAATGTAAAAATAATAAAAATTAAAAAAATAATTATATATCTATATGAAATTTTATTCTAACTGTATTTTGATATTAATATATATATATATATATATTTATATCAAAATACACTTAGAATGAAACTGTATATATATCTATGCATATATAAATAAATAAAAATAATACGAAATATACATATGTCCATTTACAAAATTACATAATTATATAAATATACACGTAGACTTCAAATATATAAATATGCATATATATTTAAATTCTATGTGTGTATTTATGTAATATTTTTACATAATTAAGTAGTTTTATTGATTGCAATTTGAGGGACCTGCCTGCCAACCCAGGCCGAAAGTCCAGAGAATTTTATTTGCTAGCATTGTATTTTACCCTGTAACATTCTACGACACCCTAAAACCTGTACATGGGGGGTACTGTTTTACTCGTGAGACTTCGCTGAACACAAATATTAGTGATTAAAAACAGTAAAACATATCACAGCGATGATATTGTCAGTGAAAGTAACTTTTTTTGCATTTTTCACACACAAACAGCATTTTTACTGATGATATAATTGTTGTGATACATTTTCCAGTTTTGAAACACTAATATTTGTGTTCAGCAAAGTCTCCTGAGTATAACAGTACCCCCCCATGTACAGGTTTTATAGCGTTTTTGAAAGTTACAGGGTCAAATATATGGGTCAAATATTTTTACATTGAAAATGGCCAGGTTGGATACGTTGCCTTTGAGAGCGTATGGTAGCCCAGGAATGAGAATTACCCCCCTGATGGCATACCATTTGCAAAAGAAGACAACTCAAGGTATTGCAAATGGGGTATGTCTGGTCTTTTTTAGTAACCACTTAGTCACAAACACTGGCCAAAATTTGCGTTCAATTGAGTTTTTTACTTTTTTAACACACAAACAAATATAAACACTAATTTTGGCCAGTGTTTGCAACTAAGTGGCTACTAAAAAAGTCTGGACATACCCCATATTGAATACTCTGGGTTGTCTACTTTAAAAAAAAATATGTAAATTTTAAAAAATGTATGTTTTGAAAATGCAATATTCTTCTTGTACTTATAGCCGTATAACATTAAAAAAAAATAGCAAAAAAGCACGTAAACACTGGGTATTTTTAAACTCAGGACAAGATTTTGAATCTATTTAGCAGTTTTTTTCATTAGCTTTTGTAGATGAGTAAAATATTTTTCACGTAAAAGTCAAAAAACATCTATTTTTTTCAATTTTTCCTCATATTTTTTCATTTTTTAAAAATTAAATTACATGAGATTATATAAATAATGGTATGTAAAGAAAGCCCCTTTTGTCCTGAAAAAAACAATATATAATTTGTATGGGAACAGTAAATGAGAGAGCGGAAAATTACAGCTAAACACAAACACCACAAAAGTGTAAAAAGATGCTTGGTCGCAAATGTACAACATCGCAAGAACAATCCGGTCATTAAGGGGTTAAAAGAAGAAAAACTACCACAGTCAATTAGAGGGACAAAGGTTTAAAAATAATATCAGGAAGTATTACTTTACTGAGAGGGTAGTGGATGCATGGAATAGCCTTCTAGCTGAAGTGGTAGAGGTTAACACAGTAAAGGAGTTTAAGCATGCGTGGGATAAGCATAAGGCTATCCTAACTATAAAATAAGGCTAGGGACTAATCAAAGAATTTAGAAAATTGGGCAGTCTACATGGGCCCAATGGTTCTTATCTGCCGTCACATTCTATGTTTCTATGTTTCTACTATAATAGTAGGCTTTAGGAAAAAATCAGCTGGGAACACAATTTTGATGGCCACCCATCCCACACATTCAATGTGATTTCTTTAGGGGATTTCCTTAGGCTACGCAGAAACTGCTGGACGGATGACATATTCCAATCCCCTTACAGGGGAACTTAGGGACCATTTGCGCATAAGGCGGTATGTAGACCGACTTACTGAGAAAGGTTGGAATGCAGCACTAGCAAGAAAGTGGGATTCTCTCATAAAACCCATGGTTAAAAATAGTAGTACTTGAAGGGGGTGGAGCCAAAACACAAATCTAACAAGATGTGTGGCTCCAGGACTATGGGGGGGATTCCTCAGATACACACAAAACAGAACTGTATATACTATACAGAAATAGGGCGCCACTTATCACCAAATATAAATATATAATTACCCTCCAGCGAATAAATGGGAATATAAATATAAAAAGAGAAAACATCATAGTGCAAACTTTTAATTCCAAAGTGATAAAAACACATAAATTAAAACACTCACAAACGATGTGGCACAATTGACAAAATCAATATGTGCTAAAGTGCTGATGCCTAGAATAGGCTAGATCTCCCGGTCTGGCAGTCTGTGGAAGTCTGTATAAAAGCTGCAACAAGTGTATATCAAACAGTTCACCATCAGCTGCTTCAGATTCCCGGGTCAGTATCTGCTCAACGCGTTTGTTTCGTCTATTCCTGTTCAGACTTCTTCAGGAGCATGTCCGGAGTCTTCTCTATTTGGCATTTAAATATGCCGGGTGGCGTCCTTTCTATGCAATTGCGCATGCGCGACCGGGCGCCGACGTGATGACATACCACCGTGGAACGCAAGCAAAAACTTTATTATTCTAAGCAACAGGGACAGTATTGGGACTTACAAAAAAGAACCGATATGTGTCCCAATGCTACTATATGTTGGGTGCACATATAGAGAATGCTCTAATAAAACATATAAAATATACAGTAAACTAAAGAAGAGGGAAAAAGATGGTAATATATGTGCATGTAATTATAATATGTGAATCCAACATATTACCAGCACAAAAAAATTCAATCAAGACCATTTCGCATAAATATGACAAAAATAATAATAATTGTCTTTAAAAAATTACAAATATTATTTATAAAAGATGTATGCTAATATTTTTAGCCATCTTTAATGCTAACATAATTTCAAAACCGACATAATTAAAACAAGGCATAATTCTACAAAGGCATAATTTCAAAAAATATATATATAAAAAAGACCGGCATAGTTTTAAAAAACAAGCATAATTTTAAATGATTTTAAATAGATATAGTTCTCCAAAAGAGTGTAATAAAACAGCATAGTTCTTCAAAAAATTCTAGGAAAGACCCAATTTAGAAATAACTCAATCGAGGACAAATAAGAATAAGGGAAGAAAGGAAAAAGAAGATTAGCAACATATAATCAATCGTATAATCAGTTGCTTTGTAGAATTATGCCTTGTTTTAATTATGTCGGTTTTGAAATTATGTTAGCATTAAAGATGGCTAAAAATATTAGCATACATCTTTTATAAATAATATTTGTAATTTTTTAAAGACAATTATTATTTTTGTCATATTTATGCGAAATGGTCTTGATTGAATTTTTTTGTGCTGGTAATATGTTGGATTCACATATTATAATTACATGCACATATATTACCATCTTTTTCCCTCTTCTTTAGTTTACTGTATATTTTATATGTTTTATTAGAGCATTCTCTATATGTGCACCCAACATATAGTAGCATTGGGACACATATCGGTTCTTTTTTGTAAGTCCCAATACTGTCCCTGTTGCTTAAAATAATAGTTTTTTGCTTGCGTTCCACGGTGGAACGCACATGCGCGACGGACGCCGGCGGATGGTATGTCAGCACGTCGGCGCCCGGTCGCACATGCGCAATTGCACAGAAAGGACACCACCCGGCATATTTAAATGCCAAATAGAGAAGACTCCGGACATGCTCCTGAAGTAGTCTGAACAGGAATAGACGAAACGCATTGAGCAGATACTGACCCGGGAATCTGAAGCAGCTGATGGTGAACTGTTTGATCTACACTTGTTGCAGCTTTTATACAGACTTCCACAGACTGCCAGACCGGGAGATCTAGCCTATTCTAGGCATCAGCACTTTAGCACATATTGATTTTGTCAATTGTGCCACATCGTTTGTGAGTGTTTTAATTTATGTGTTTTTATCACTTTGGAATTAAAAGTTTGCACTATGATGTTTTCTCTTTTTATATTTTTTTTTATGTGAATATCCCCATTTATTCGCTGGAGGGTATTTATATCCAGTATTTATATTTGGTGATAAGTGGCGCCCTATTTCTGTATAGTATATACAGTTCTGTTTTGTGCACATTTGGTTAAGGGATACAGGGAGTGCATCCCTATATATAGTGGCTTGCCTGCACTATTTTCACGGTCAGGTTTTTTCAATATCCACATTTGGTTTTATTCCTCAGATATACCCTGGATTCTCGAGGGGCAATCAGTCCCACCATATTATGCCAGCATGGGGGCACTAAAATGAACCTGGGGAGTTCTTTCTTGTCCAGTTTGGTCGTTCTGAGCCCGAGGTGTAGATATGCAGCCTACAGGCACTTGTACTGGGGAGAGGTGGCCGCTCTTCCCGCCCTACAGCTAACTGTGTGGTCTCACCTCACTCCTGGCCCATGGTCTGGTGGGGTTATCTTGGACTACACTGGAGTTGCAGACACACTACTAGCCTACTTAACTCTCTGCAACGTGCTCTGAGGAGACTGCCCCTCACAAAATGGCAGAGATGACTCTCTCTGGGCCACAAAGCTTGACGCAGCGCAGCTCACAATGAGAAGAACGCTCTAGTCATATGCTGATGGAAGCAATATTTGAGAAATTTTGGGCCCACTTGGAGGCACGATCGGCGGCAACACGCTCTTTACCGCTTTGAAGAGACCAGAGGAGCTGGGAATCACACACGCCACAATTTCAGCCAGTACCACCAGCCCCTCCCAATCACCCATCTGGGCAGCCGTCTCAATGTCTTCGAGCCCAGCCGGTGGTTACATTTCCTCAGAGGGCGCACACCAAGAGGCAAAGACCGCGAAAGTGTAAATCGAGGCAGGCAATTAACAGGCCCACTCCGAAGCAGAGGGAGATAAGCCCTGAGAAGATCAAGTGCACAGCAGAGGGGCAGGAGGAACAGAGGGAGTCAGGGAGGCTGCAAAGTTTACCTGTCACCACATCAACAGCTATCACACTACTGGGCTGGCAGCTCCACTCCACCTTGTTGGACTTTAACCTACCTGTTGCTGGCATCGGCTGAATGACACACAAGCATTTCCCCTCATGTTTAGCCTAGCTGCTCGATTTTATGTTATACTCTGCCTCCCTTTGAATCAGTTTCTGTTAACCAGTTACCTTTAAGTCGAGATGATAGGCCTCATACTGTTCTTCCCTGGTCTGTTGTAGCTTAATGCTGACCTGTTTTTCCTTTTCCTTTTTATTTTCATCTTTTTTTATTTTATTAATGTATTTATCTACGCCAAACAGATACCGAGCACAGATCTAGCGGTATAGCATCTAAATTCAAACTCATTCTGCCCTTCTCCTGTCTAGCTAGCTTTATATGTAGCCAGTCTTTTATAAACTTCATGTCTAGCCAGTTTCAATCATTTATGTCTTCTTAGTGCTTAATCTCAAATGGCTAGCTGGTGTTTCTTCATTATTCTGACCAATAGCATGTATCCTAAGTCTAGACATATTCTCTTAGCCTATCCTTATGTTATGCTATTATAAAATTGTGCTGAAATGTCAAAATGCCATCCAACTGTTTCTCTCATATATCTTGTCATGCTTGCTCTGCTGCCGTGGCATTGCAAGCTTGCCTGTAACTTTATTGCACAACAATAATAAAGAATAATAAAAAAAATAGTAGTACTATAAGGCCAGCATACCCACTAAATAAAAGTACAGAAAGCCTTCCATACTTTTGCACAGATTAGAGATTAGAGAGTAATCAATTTAAATCCATTACTCATATTATATGGAAACATCTTCCAGTTTTAAGGTCAGAATTTCAGTTCAGCGAGAAGAGCCAAGTTGCTTAAGTCCATTTTATGCCCAAGTCTTTTTCTTTTGCATATACCTCACACAACGGAAACTTGGCTAACATGTAAAGGCATATTCAAGTGTGGTCTGGAGAGATGCAACTATTGCATACTGGCCAATTAAACTACACACTTTGTTTCTTCTGTCACCAATACCAAATATGAGATCAGAGATTTTATTAGTTGTTCTAATGAGTTATGTACCTCATCACCTGTAAATATTGTAAAAAACAGTACGTGGGACAAACTAAACTAAAATCATAGTGGAGCATATCCAAAGTATTAAATATGATACAATAAAACAAACTTCAGTATCAAGACATTTCAAATTTTGCAATGGGGCTACTTTGTCCATATTCTCATTCCAGGGAATTCAGAAGTGTAGACTGGATTCAAGAGGTGGTAGTTTAGAAAAGTGTCTACTTAGTAATGAGATGTTCTGGATACTTACCTTACAGACCAGATTTCCATATGGTTTAAATATGAAATGGGATACCAGGTACATCTTTAGACACTAAATTGTACAACGTTTAACAGTTTTTGCCCCTTTGCTCAAATACAACCCAGCATCATATCCATCTTTTATCAGTTAGTAGGATTACCTTAGTATTTTGATGTCCCTCTCCATTCATGCATATTCTATATGCCCAATTATTTAGTAAGTGAATGTATTCCTCACACAACCATATTTTGATGTATAACCATGTGAGTTTGCTGCTATGTATATATAGCAGCATCTATTTCCTTAATTTTCTATCATTGCTGGCATGTGGTCTATTTACACGTATTAGATATTGTTCGTTCTCTTAGGATAAAATTAGATGAGTTATTTTTGTCTCCCATCCATTTTATCTCCGTTTATCCATTTCTCTCTACCTCTAATTTCTAATTGTGTCCTCTGTGTGTCTCTTTTTTACCTTTTATGCCCTCTTTTTGGTTGAAATATTTTTTTAGTTTTATTATTTCTTATCACAGGTTGCCATATTATTATTATAAATACTTTTATGGTTAGAAGGGTGAAAAGGTTGTTATGCCCATTCCCAAATTACATTTGCTATACCCTTAGTAATAGTTTTGGTGGTCTGGTGGCGGAATGTCACTGGGTCCTGTGTCTTTTTTTTACCGTGCCTTTCTTTAAGGGTCTTAGAGATGATGGAGTGTCACTTTTTGGCAAGTCCCATATATTTCATATAATCTTGATACAATTTTTCTAATAACAAGTATTAGAACTTTGGGACCCCAGACTACATGTAGTGAGCTTAGTCCCTCTTTTTTAAGAATATATTTTTATTTACGGTATATACAGTTGCAAGAAATAGTATGTGAACCCTTTGGAATGATATGGATTTCTGCACAAATTGGTCATAAAATGTGATCTGATCATCATCTAAGTCACAACAATAGACAATCACAGTCTGCTTAAACTAATAACACAAAAAGAATGAAATGTTGCCATGTTTTTATTGAACACACCATGTAAACATTCACAGTGCAGGTGGAAAAAGTATGTGAACCCTTGAATTTAATAACTGGTTGAACCTCCTTTGGCAGCAATAACTTCAACCAAACGTTTCCTGTAGTTGCAGATCAGATGTGCACAACGGTCAGGAGTAATTCTTGACCATTCCTCTTTACAGAACTGTTTCGGTTCAGCAATATTCTTGGGATGTCTGGTGTGAATCGCTTTCTTGAGGTCATGCCACAGCATCTCAATCGGGTTGAGGTCAGGACTCTGACTAGGAAACTTCAGAAGGCGTATTTTATTCTGTTTAAGCCATTCTGTGGTTGATTTACTTCTATGCTTTGGGTCATTGTCCTGTTGCAACATCCATCTTCTGTTGAGCTTCAGCTGATAGACAGATGGCCTTAAGTTCTCCTGCAAAATGTCTTGATAAACTTGGGAATTCCTTTTTCCTTCGATGATAGCAATCTGTCCAGGCCCTCACGCAGCAAAGCAGCCCCAAACCACGATGTCCCCACCACCATACTTCACATTTGGGAAGAGGTTTTGATGTTGGTGTGCTGTACCTTTTTTTCGCCACACATAGTATTGTGTGTTTCTTCCAAACAACTCAACTTTGGTTTCATCTGTCCACAGAATATTTTGCCAATACTGCTGTGGAATATCCAGGTGCTCTTGTGCAAACTGTAAACGTGCAGCAATGTTTTGTTTGGACAGCAGTGGTTTCCTCTGTGGTATCCTCCCATGAAATCCATTCTTGTTTTGTGTTTTACGTATTGTAGATTCGCTAACAGGGATGTTAGCATTTGCCAGTGACTTTTGTAAGTCTTTAGCTGACACTCTAGGATTCTTCTTCATCTCATTGAGCAGTCTGTGCTGTGCTTTTGCAGTCATCTTTACAGGACGGCCACTCCTAAGGAGAGTAGCAGCAGTGCTGAACTTTCTCCATTTATAGAAAATTTGTCTTACCGTGGACTAATGAACAGCAAGGCTTTTGGAGATACTTTTATAACCCTTTCCAGCTTTATGCATGTCAACAATTCTTAATCGTAGGTCTTCTGAGAGCTCTTTTGTGCGAGGCATCATTCACATCAGTCAATGCTTCTTGTGAAAAGCAAACCCAGAACTGGTGTGTGTTTTTTATAGGGCAAGGCAGCTGTAACCAACACCTCCAATCTCATCTCATTGATTGGACTCCAGTTGGCTGACATCTCACTCCAATTGGCTCTTGGAGATGTCATTAGTCTAGGAGTTCACACGCGCACTTTTTTTCCACACACGCACAGCAGATGTTTACATGGTGTGTTCAATAAAAACATAGCAACATTTCATTCTTTGTGTGTTATTAGTTTAAGCAGACTGTGATTGTCTATTGTTGTGACTTAGATGATGATCAGATCACATTTTATGACCAATTTGTGCAGAAATCCATATCATTCCAAAGGGTTCACATACTTTTTCTTGCAACTGTACAATTGTGGGTTTGCCTAAGTAATGGGTTAGTGTCTGAACGGATTTGATCTAATTAGTAGAATCCATCATTTTGTGGCAATACACACTGGAGCATCCCTATCTCTGAATAGGCAGACTTGCTCACCTTATGTTAATTTCTCATTCCATGTCTAGTTTAAACCGTAAGCAGCCAACTTTTTTCCTTAGTGCATGCTAAACGCTGAAACATTGCTCAACCAAAGTTGAGTTGTTTGGAAGAAACACACAATACTATGTGTGGCGAAAAAAAGGTACAGCACACCAACATCAAAACCTCTTCCCAAATGTGAAGTATGGTGGTGGGGACATCGTGGTTTGGGGCTGCTTTGCTGCGTGAGGGCCTGGACAGATTGCTATCATCGAAGGAAAAAGGAATTCCCAAGTTTATCAAGACATTTTGCAGGAGAACTTAAGGCCATCTGTCTATCAGCTGAAGCTCAACAGAAGATGGATGTTGCAACAGGACAATGACCCAAAGCATAGAAGTAAATCAACCACAGAATGGCTTAAACAGAATAAAATACGCCTTCTGAAGTTTCCTAGTCAGAGTCCTGACCTCAACCCGATTGAGATGCTGTGGCATGACCTCAAGAAAGCGATTCACACCAGACATCCCAAGAATATTGCTGAACCGAAACAGTTCTGTAAAGAGGAATGGTCAAGAATTACTCCTGACCGTTGTGCACATCTGATCTGCAACTACAGGAAACGTTTGGTTGAAGTTATTGCTGCCAAAGGAGGTTCAACCAGTTAGTAAATCCAAGGGTTCACATACTTTTTCCACCTGCACTGTGAATGTTTACATGGTGTGTTCAATAAAACATGGCAACATTTCATTCTTTGTGTGTTATTAGTTTAAGCAGACTGTGATTGTCTATTGTTGTGACTTAGATGATGATCAGATCACATTTTATGACCAATTTGTGCAGAAATCCATATCATTCCAAAGGGTTCACATACTTTTTCTTGCAACTGTACAATTGTGGGTTTGCCTAAGTAATGGGTTAGTGTCTGAACGGATTTGATCTAATTAGTAGAATCCATCATTTTGTGGCAATACACACTGGAGCATCCCTATCTCTGAATAGGCAGACTTGCTCACCTTATGTTAATTTCTCATTCCATGTCTAGTTTAAACCGTAAGCAGCCAACTTTTTTCCTTAGTGCATGCTAAACGCTGAAACATTGCTCTGGCAAGGCTTTTCATTATTATTGCAATTTATGTGCTCCTTTATGGAGTGTTATCAGGAACTGGGGGTTTTT